CAGTTAACGTCCACTTATTCAGCTCGTCCGACCAGAAATACCCGATCGACCGAAATATCTATCTGGTCGCGTTACTTGGCAAGACTCGACACCTCCGTCTTGATGTTTCAGGTGCCGTCGGACGACGAATCCTCGCCGCGGCGATTCGATTACATCTGCGGCCAAAATCATGCAGTATTACGAAATTGACAGCTTTCCAGCGCGTGCGTTTACAGCGGTTGCCAAAGCAGCATTGCTCTAACGGCGTATTAGTGGCGAGCGGAGATCAATTTGCGCTCGGAGCAACAAACGAAGGGCAATATGAAAAAAGCCCGGCTAATATATCATAAATGTGAAAAATGATTGAGTTTCCATCCTCCCACGGCAGCTTGCTAATCTTTGCTAACCCACTGAAGTAGCGGAAGGTAATTACAGTCCGGCGCCTGGCTGTGCGAGCTCGCGCGCTCAGCTCGATATCTCTAGCTCGGCGAGAGCGAGAGGCGCCATTAGAGAATTGCCAAGTCCCGCAGCAGCACCTTATGATTGTAATTTCGTAACTTTCTCGCGTGTGTGTGTGTGCGCGCACGTGTGTGAGCGCATATCGATTACCGCTTCTTGCCACAAGGGTGCTGCTGTTGCTGCTACCTGTTCTCATCTAACCTTTCTCTCGCGCTTTCTCGACGGCGACGACGACGACGACGATGATGATGATGATGATGATGATGATGATGATGATGATGATGATGATGATGATGATGGTGCGCCAGCTACTGATTGATACGGCCACATGGCGCACGGCTCGGCGAAAAATCGCTGACCCTTTAACCCGTGCCGGCCGCGCGAGTCCCGTCGTCTCTCGACGTCGTCGCGTTACAATTGCGCCTCGGGTGGATTCAGGAAGATAGCCATACTTTTAATGCGCTGCTCGCGCTGTCCGAGGCGGAGGAGGGAATATATACGAGCGTGCAACCTGCCCGGTAATGAATGCAGGCCGTAAAACAAGGACGCCTTGATTTACTCGCGGCGAGCTCTAGCGCAAAGGCAGTATTAATAAATTATCGGTTATTAAGTGGCCACGCTCCGCGAAATTTTGGGAAGGGACGGGCGGCAAGAGGCGAGACGTCGCGCAGCCGACTTGGCGCTCGCGACAGGTACTCCGGTTAATTAAACGGACGGGCGCACGGACAACCAAATAAATAAAGGACTCGCGGGGGGGGGGGCTTGACGAACGCGAGCATTGTGCGCGCCTGGTGCGCGTGGGGCCGCTTTCCTATTTGTTGGACGTCCGCTAATTGATTGGCTCAGCGTTAATGCCATATAAGCGGACCGAGCCGCTAGGTTGTTGCCGTGGCCGGCGAAGGAGTCGCGCGGGCCTCAATTCCGCGATCGCGCGGCTAATTGACTTGTGCGGCCGCGGGAAAACCGAAAAACGGCGCGACGGGCTGCGGATAAGAGGCAGCGCGAAGGGAGAGAAAGCAGGCGGCGCGGCTCGCCGGCCGAATAAGGCGAACGAGAGGCAGCGGCGCGCCGGCGACGATTAACAGTCGGGGCCTGCGCTCGCGAACGAGCCGCGACGCGAGACGCATCGGCCCGCGACGACGCAGTCCGCTCGCGTGCGCGGCTGAACCAGCATCTATTATCTAGCGGAGGACTGATGTCAGCTCGGCAGCTGCACGGGCGAGCGCGCCGCGGAATCAGGTGTCGTCGTTTTGCTCGGCTCTCGAGAAATGTAACGGGGGTTCGGTTGTAGGACGCTCCCGCAAAAAGGCCGTGTTCACTTGCTAATTGATGTTGCTCGCTGCACAAGTACGCTACGTCGCACACTCGGTGCGTCATTCTTCGCGCGAGTCAGTTCGGCTCAGTTTGAGTGATCGAGCGAGCTCGCCGGCTCGCCACGCGCGCGCGTGCGTCTCGCGGCCAAGCCGCATCGACGTCTCGAAGCGCTTCGACCTGCGCTGTCTCGCTGCAACCTCATCGCCGCGGGCGCGGAGCGACGAGCGAGCGGCAAAAAAGCTTGCCGGCCGCAGGAATGCCGTTCATCATCGGCTGTGCGCGCGCGGGTGCGCGACTGGCACGGAGCGGCCGAAGATAGGCGCGGCCGTGGATCGTGGACGTTGCCGCGCCGATTCGGGCCCTTCGACTCGGTGCGCTCGATGCGCAATGGACCGCTCGAGTCGCAGACTCACCTGCCGCCAAGTGTTACGGGCTCGCGGCGTGCGCGGGCGCGGCCTATCGGCGGCCGAGGCGCTAATCTCCGGCAATTGAGATTCGATAGCAATTAAAAGGCCGCGCGCTGCGCCTCTAATGCGAGTCGGCCGCTAAAGCGCGATTTACCGAGTTCTTCAATTATTACGTACAAAGTCGGCGAGATTGCGCCTGCATATTGATTATCGGTTATGCCCATATTAAATGAGGCCGCTATCGGCTTGCGCGGAAGCCCGTCCCACTTGTAAATTCGAAAACTGACAAAAGAACCGGGTACTGGTAGCTTGTCAATGATTATCTGCACTTGCATGCTCAATTATCGGCTATGAAGAATGCGCGAGCCTGCCTCGTAAACACTCGGCCAACATTGTTGCAGCGCCGCATCCCGAGGACTATCGGTGCCACCGCGAGCACTTGGTAGCAGCGAGCGCTCCGCCGCGGAATAATTAACGTAATTGCAATGAAAACGGCGGCTGCGATTATTAATGGCGGTGCGGATGCACGTCGAGAGGGAAGGGCCGCGAAGGAGCGCGCGGCAATAGTCGGCGGCGCATCATCGATGCGAATTGACTCGATCAAGTGCACAGAACAAAGAAGGCAGCCTTGGCGGGAAGCGCCCTCGCACACCCACCTCGGCGGCGATCAGCAAAACCAATAGAGTTCGGTGCGTGCGGCGGTAATTGGCATGACGATATCATCGGAGAGCGTCTCTCACGACGACTCGTCCTCTCCTCCAGTCGGCGTGGCGGCGGCACCTTATCCTTCGCGTGCCATTGGCGAGACGCGAGGCGTGTCTAATGGGCTTCCTGCGCGCAAAATTTTCGCGACCGACCGACCGACCGACCGACGTGCATAGACGCGCGCCGTGCACGTGTGCACGCGGATTATAACGCGCATCGACGTAGCATGCCACCCAGCTCGTCCTCTCGCGAGCCAGCGATCCGTGAACCTGGCCGCGCGCATTTGCATTCGAGTTATGCGCGGGCTAATCCGGCGATACTCGATCCGCGGCCGCGTAGCTGGACCTTTCGTTTTGCTCGGCGCCGAGCGTAAGGGCGCCGCCGCGGAGCCAGCGGGGGAAAGCGCGCCGCGCGAGTTGCGCAAGCCGAGGTGGAAAACTGACATAAATAACCGGCAAATTGATATGGGCCGCGCGTTCGACAATCGTTCAATTATCAGCTTAACGACTGGCCTGGCTCTCGTGGACTCGCCGCGGACGGCGCAGCGCGGCTTTGATTTACGAAAGCGCCCGCGCGAGTCTTTATCATTGTCATCACCGGCTGACGTTTAAGGGCGAAAAATTTACGCCCCTGCGCACGCACTGACGAATCATTCGTTCGAAGCCGCGGAGCCGTGATTTACGTCGATCGTATATCTCCGGCATTAATGCGCGTTGACAATAAATTCGTGCGTTTACGTTTATTTAATAATCCTCGCTCGTGATATTCCCCGCGCCGGCAATGAGAGAGAGACGTATTAGCCGGGCACAAATCTCCAACCTAATGATCGGCGTGCGCGCGAGTTATGACAATGCTGCGACTGGGACAATGGTTGTAAATTAAAAAAGCCTTTTTTCGCATTTATTTACGACTGGCCTTCTCCGTATTTCTCGCCGCAACGTATATATCTGCACTTTGCTCGGAGGCTCGTTCAGGCTGGCTGCATCAGATATACGCCAGAGCAGTGGCCGCGGTGGTGCTGGCGGTGGCGTTTAACGAGGTCAGTTTTGAGCGGTCGGCGCGCACAGACTAGGATTCCCTTAATTTGTTTGAGCGAAACAATATCGAGTTACCGGCGATGGCTATCGCTCGCGCTCTCTCTCTCTCTCTCTCTCTCTCTCTCTCTCTCTCTCTCTCTCTCTCTCTACCCGTGAGCTCTCCGCGGCTACCGCGCACCCCACCTCGCTGCCCTTTTCTTCGTCTCTCTCGCTCGCTCTCTCTCTTTTTCTCTTTGAAAATTATCTGCAACGAATCTACTGGCACATTATATGCCGGGCGCGCGGCAAGAGCGCTCTCGCACAAAGAACGCGGAGGTGGAGATGAGACAGAGAGGGATAAAGTTGAACGACCCCGCGCGATGCACCTTCTTCTTTCGATTCGAGAGCGAAAGTATGCGTGCGCGGCCTCGGCCAATCGCACACCTCGATTCCCCCGCTGAGCGCTTTCGTGCCCAAAAATTCTTTCTCTCCGCCGGCTTCTCGCGCGCACTTTGCTCCTCTTCGTGCGACGACTCGCGCCCAAATTATTACGTTAATGCCAAGAGATTTTTCAAACTAATCTGCATAAAGGAGAAAAGACTCGATGTAATCTTGCAGCACTTGAGAAAATTTAAAAAAGCTCGTGTATCCGTAAAAGGTTGCAGCTACTCTTCTCTGAGATCTTTGACGAGCCGACGAGCCACCCGGTCGGCGAAAGGAGAGGCTGCTATCTTGAAATAAAAAAAAGTGCAATGTTGCGGATGACGGCGATGATGGATCCGCAGCCTTCGCGTTCGCCAAATTAGTGCCCGTCGGACCAGAGGCTTACGCGTCGAAAAATCGATCGGGTATAGCTTCTCGCACCTTTATTTGCTTCACTTTTGCGCTTTTCACATTCGAATCGACACTTTTCCAGGCCGTCACAAGATTTTTCACAACGTCGCCAGCAGATTCGCGTGCTTTATTTTCGAGCTCATTAAGGCGCGAGAGGTACTAAAACATTCGCAAAGCCCACTGGGATTGCTCGTTTGTTATCTTAAATATTGCCTTATGAATTAACCCCGCGTACGCTTGATCGTGGAGATGATTCACTGATTAGCTGCAAGCCCGAGCTGTACCCTTAATGACTATAAAATTCAATCAGGCGGTTGTTAATTGGCTGTAATGGTCGAATATTGTGCGTGTCGCCGTCGCTCAGAATCACGTTACGAAGTAATCTTATCTGGAAATACAAATCAGATGGAGATCGTTCGGTAAAATCATCTACGATAATTTCCATTTGAACGTAATTATTGATCTCACGATTGTTGAGCTTATCGGCTGCGGCTCGGATAGTATCGCCCAGCGCACATTCTCCGTGCAAGGTGGAGTTGTCAATGAACCGTAGTAAGAATACACTGGAGGTAATGGTTGTAGTATGAAAGAAGCCAAATTGAATGTTGCTACGCGGACTGACGCATTGACAGAGAGTACTTGTTGGGCCAGCGCTGCAAATTGCGCCATTCCCGGGTTTGGAGAAACGTTATCCTGAAATGTTCCAAGCACGCTTTTATTTTTATCGAGTTGTAAAAAACAAAATTCTTTCAATATATTTACATTGACCCGATAGAGAATGCCAACCACCGCAATTCCATCTGGATGTAACGAAGCCTCCGATACATTTTGATATTTTTCGTTGAAATGCACTAAATGCAACTCCGCGGCATATCTTTAGGTTAAAAAATGTACTAGCGCTCATCTAATACAGATCTTTTAACATTACTAACTTACTTTCGACCTTCAATGGCGTGTTCTGTCCCGTTATTATCAGCTGTACTCCAATGTAAATGAACGTTACTGATGGTATAAATTTCTCTTGAAAAAATTGCCCCCCTAATGCTAGGTTTACGTCTTCCCCAAGTGCCAGACAATTGCACTAAAATAATTATACTAGTAAATGGTAGCTCAATTTACTTTCTTTTAATGCTCCAATACCTGTATGCCCAGTATTTCTAATCTCCAGTTGTTGGGCTCCCTTGCCGTAATTTAAAAATTCTAAAGCTTTCTTGCCATGGTTGTCACCTATAACATGGCTTTGAAGATTAACAGGCGATTGATTTTGTCCCAAACTACAAGTTATTGAAATATTAGTCCACTCCTTCACATCATGAAAATTCCAAGAAATTCCTGAAAATTGTAAGCGCGAACTTTTGAACGAAAGTAAAATTGATAGACAAGCATTAATTCGAAAGTTGGCGAATTTCTTTGATTTGTATACTCATCTTGGCGATATCTTTACAATCATTTTGTAAAGCACCAAAAGTGTAAGTTTAAAAAACCAAACTTGTGCGGAAAATTAGCTCGTTTTAGGACGAAAAAAAAGTTGTAGGTTACGTTTTACGTTTGCGTACGAGTACAGTTGGCGGCACGTATAAACGTTAAAATGCATGCCGGGTAAGCGAGATAAAATTGTTGTTGGCACATTAGGCACTATTTTAAATAAGAAAGTTTGTATAATTACCTTGATTAAACGAGTTCCAAGTCAATAAAACAAATAGAAATCTATGAGGACAACTGAAGAGCATTTTCAAGTGAATTCACTCTTGGATCGTTCAAGACAAAGAGATTCAAAGGCTGTTCTCGTAGGAGAGTGCTCGCCGACTACTCGACGCAAAGTGTCTGCTCAAGAGCGCAAATCTACTTATTAGGGCGAAAGGTAGATAACAGCTTTGTCATTAAAACGTAGCTGAACGACTCAACTCAACGCGTAAACTTGTGAAACTGAGCATTATTTTTCTGCGTTTCCATTCTGTTGAGAGAAATACTGGTATTTCTTTATTTAGTTGCACATGTAAAAACAGTGATGCAAGCAAACAATATCTTTACTACCTAAAACTACTGTTCTCAACAATTGTGAATTATTTTCTTGGAATACCCTTGAGCGCAGGAATTGCGCTGGTATTTTTTGAAAACACTATTATCGTTAGTGAAAAGACAGAATCTGATGCTTTCTCAAGTACTAAACATTTATAATAATAAATAATGATATAATAATAATAAAAATAATAATAATTATATGAAGAAATAATGGATGTAAAAAATCACGTTTTCTCTACAATAATCAATATGTTGATATATGTTGATATATAGTTTAGAATATTTACTTAGAGTAGAGTATCGAATGGGAAAAAGTCACATTTAAAGTTCAGTTAAATAAATATTTCAAGAGAAATATAAATCTACGAGGCACTGCCTTATTTCTTGAGCATAAGTTTTCAAAATGCGTGCCCTATCGGTAAAATAATTGCAGTTCGATTAAAAATCAGTGCATTATTCGAAGATACGGATAATACACTTAGTCTTCGATTACGCGTTGTATTGCTCCCACTGAACAAAGTAAAGAATATAAAAAGATCTTTCTTAACATCCATATTTTAATTTATCGTACTTCACAAGCCTATCACTACAACGAGTTTCAAATTAAAAGTAGTATCGCGTACTCTGCATTTTCTGAACTTAATTTGCGCATATCAGTAACATTTAATTGAAAACGGCCGAGTAATAACCATTGAATGTTATCCGAGATCACTGCGAGTTTTCATTAAGAAACAGTGGCGTCAATTTGATCACGCTAACAAATGGAAATAGTGCGAGCCCTGAGAAAAATCATTGTATTGGAATAACGGCATTAAACTATTTGCCGCTGTCATTTTCACGGCGATCATCCTTTAATACAAATCCACGCTCGCTGCTCGCGATGCAAAACGCAAAGGTGCAAACATAGCCCATACGAGAATATGCGGGAAGTCGAGAATGCCAACAGGTCGAAAGGCGCTGTTGAATGACCGGATCTTTTTTTCTCTTGTTCTTTTCTTTTTGAGAGCGAGAGAGAGAGAGAGAGAGAGAGAGAGAGCCGGATGCGCGCGATGGGACAAGGCTCGTACGCGCGAATGGACGGGAAGTGGTCCCAAGCTCACGTAGGTATACACACATGAATGCGAGAATGAGATTAAGCCGTGCAGAGCGAGAACAGGTCTAAACAGAGACAGGTCTAAACTGATCTGAAATGATACTGCAGCTTTGAGCAACGCGAGTGCGCTTCCTCTCGAAATGCCACTGATATTTGTTAGAGGGAAAAGTCGTGCAGTACGAGGAGGCGCAGATCTGCAGTGATTATTAATTAATCAATTGTAGTGCTTAATGATCGACGTAATTTACGTGCCGGAGAGTCGGAGCTTGAAAAGAAGAGGAAGAAGAAGAAGAAGAAAGCGGGAAAGAAGGGGGTCCTTCGAGGGGCAGATAAGCAGGCGCAACCGGGAGACGAAGGACTAATTAGAAGACGCGCGAGCGCGAAATGCGCGCCGATGGTATATCGGCCGATGCAGGCTCGCGATTGTCGTGGTGCGCGCAAGTGTGTGTAGGTGCGCGGCTTCATTACGGGGCCGTGTTAATTAGTCGGCGATAGCCAGGGCTGCGCTGCTGCCGGCTGCAGGAACTCCCGCGAAAAAGACACATTGACCTCGTCGTCGTCTCGTTAACAAAGTGCACGCCGCATGAGCGAGAGACGGAGAGAGATTCTACCTGTGCACACGTGCGATTTAACGGACACGCCAGGCTATTTTTAGGCGCGGCTCCGGCTCTCTCTCTCTCGCTCTCGCGCGCGTTGCGACTCGCATTGTTTTTATTTGCAACCGGGGAAGAACCAGTTTTGCCCGGGCGCTCTTTCGCCGTACGTAAGCATCCTTCACTGCGCGCTGCCCCCGCAATTTTCACTCGCGTCAGATTTTAATTGCGTCATGTATCCCGCGCTGCAAGTGTTTCGGATGCAAAGCAGTTTCTTATGCGTCTTTAAGCCTCGTTTTGTATTCCAAAAACTGCGCGAACCACCTCGATAAATCGCCCTTTAAAAATCCCGGGCGAGAAATTGATAGTTACAAAAGAAAAGCCAAGAGCAAATGCAGTACCCAATTAGCAAACCGAATAAATAGAAACGAGGTGGAATCCGACGTGCGAGTTTTCAGAAGCAGCAAAAATCGTATACCCGCGTATTCGTCGAGTGCATTTTCTCGGACAATCGAGTGAATTCGACTCGCGACATGGCCAATAAAATTCTCTTTACGAGCTTCTTGAAACGATAAAATTAGCATTAAATGCTAATTAAACGGTAACGCTGACAAAGCTGCGCTCGGAGTATGAGCCAGTGAGGCTCGCGCCGTCGCGGCTTAAAGAGTATCCATCGCCTGGCTCTTTTCCGTGGTAGTGCATCGCGAAGAGGAAGCAAAAAAAAACAAGGCCTACCAGCGGGGAGACACGCCTACCGACAACCTGCGGCTCGCTCGCTCGGTGGCGGCGACTCGTCGCGCAATTAACATGAGAGCATCTCGCTCGCCGAGAGAGAGAGAGAGAGAGAGAGAGAGAGAGAGAGAGAGAGAGAGAGAGAGAGAGAGAGAGAGAGAGAGCTTTAATGTTAATTAACCAAACGAAATGTCGCGGCGGAGCGGAGGAAGCGTGCCACCTTGGTAGCGCATTGTTTATGGCGCCCGAGCACGTACACGCGGACGCGCCGAGAGCGCAACATATTGTCTCGATTTTATAGACACGTTTAGCCTTTAATTGGCCTATTAAATTGCTAATTGATCGCGGCGATGCTGCAAAATGATAATTGCCCTCGCGGCGGAGCAGCGGCAGCGCCGGCGGCCCATAACGCCGCTCGCAGCTGCCCATGCAAATTAGGCGAATTTGTTGAACATTACTTTGCGCTCGCTAATGCCCGGCCCGCGTCGATTCCGCTGAGCCTCGCTGCAATTGCCGAGGCATGATCGATCCTTCCGCTCTGCCTCTCGTGGCTGTTCGCGAGCGCGCGCCGGGTGATCGATTTTACTTTAATGCGCCCTTTCAGTCCACGGCGACTGCAAAGGAAAACCGATGTATTTCATTAATCGCGGCCTTTGATGCGCTCAGTCTAAATAGTACGCCGGCCCGCAGAAAATAAAGTGCGTAGGGTAGGTGAAATTTTCTGAATGGACACCCACGCTCGCGGCTGCGGCGCTTAATCACGCGCCGGGTAAAATAGAGACGAGGCCCGGCGCACGCACACACACACGCGATCTGCGAGCCTGAATGGGGGTCATTCATTCGCATTCAAGTGCAACCTGCCATTGTGCCCGGCCGAGAAATTAAGCCTTTAGCTCTTGTGTGCGCCGACAACGGGCAAAAAAACGCAGCCCCATCCGACGTTACACGGTCAAAACATTAGCAATATCTCCGCTCCCTCTTTTATTATTGTCTATGCGCTGCGCACTCCAACATAACGACATTGCGTTCAATGGAGGGGAGGCTGTGCTCTTTTGTTGCGCCCCATCACGTTTTCACCGCACCACGCCAAATTTGTCACTACTCCAGCCACGACTGCTCCGCGCCGAGTCAGTTTAATTTCATTAATCGGCCTCGTTCATCACGAGCCAGCCGCCTCTAGCTCGCGCTCTCGCGTCAAAGGCAGCTCTAATATCAAAATCATGCCGGTACACTGGTCGCCGACGCGTGTGGTCTCTCTCCCACTGCGAGTGCACGGAGACTAAATTCATCGTTCATAAAGTCCCACGCGAATGCCTACCGAGCCCCCGCGAAAATTCAAGCGCAGCTAGAAGCAGAGAGGAAGATGGCGAGGTGTGGTCCGCTCGTTTCCTTAATGCCAGCCACTAAATTTTCAGCTCTGCGCGAGCAGCAACCTGCGCGTCTAATTTCCCATTGTGTTGCGTAACGGGCTTTCATTGGACTGCCCCCTTCTCTCTCTCACTCTCGTGATTAGGCAGTGTTCTGTTGTTATGCTGTTACAGCGATCCGTGGGCGTCGCAACGAGGGAAGCGCTGCCGTGTGACATTATCCGAGAGCTGTTTCGCGTTGGTCCAGTCGTGCTGCGAAGCATAGCCTAGAATCGATCCCGCATCAACACCGACCGACTAATTGCCGTCAAATTGCTCGTCATTTTAATCCCTTGCCACGGTCTCTTCTCTTGTGGAGGCGGTGAACAATCGTCCAACGCCGGTACCGTTCGAGAGGGACAAAAATAAAGACCTCATTCGCGACTAATCGCTACCTCGGATTTCCTCCCTCGCTCCCTGTTAGTTGGCGCGCTCTGCTTTCTCGGCCCCGTCTTGTCGTCGTCAGCAGAAAACACGTAAATTAGAGTGTCAAAGCCCCGAAAAAGGGAGAGAGGGAGAGAGGGAGACAGGGAGATAGAGCGGCATCGACAGATCGAGGATCCCGTTAGAGAGGCGATCGCCAGAAAGTCAGGTGCCAAGCTCTCTTTCTGCCGAGACGGAGCCGATGGCTTATCTGATGCCGAGGCAGCGCGCTCGGAGTGAAAGTCCGTGCCACGCTCTACGGCGCGTGGCTGGCTCGCGAGCCGGAAAAGTGGCATCGCTGGGGAAAACAAAGATGTAAGTTTGTCGCTGAGACCCGAGCCGGCATCCAGTGTCCATTAGAGACGGGCGACAGGTGGACTCCGGAGGTAGCTGGGGGTGAAGCGTAGAGTGGATCGATTTATTATCGCGGGGGTTCGCCGGCGGCGCCTTCTCCATCTACGCGCGCTCGCCGGCACACGCCAGATGCGCGCGCTCGCACCCCCCGCCAATGAATTATGAAGCCCCGGAAAACGAAGGAAAACTAATGGACCACGAGCCGCGTACGTGCCGGGCGGCCTCGCCCAATTGGACGACGCATTTGAATGGCCGCCTGGCCGCTTTACGAGCTCGCTTTCTCATTGCCGGCTGTCGCAGGTGGTAACGCGCCCGCACTGAGTCACGAGGCTTAGTTTACCTATACGAGTCGCGCGAAAGGCCACGATCATCGAGCGGCATTCCCGAGTAGGCGCAGCGCCAGCGTACTTTTCATCGGACCGTCCGGTCGCCGCGCGCGCTCGTACGTGTTTGCTTTCTCGTCGATGAAACTCCAAAGATAAATAGAGCGGAAAATGAGAGTGAGACTAATGGCTCGGTAATAACAGCCTGTGCAAGCAAAAGCCCATTCAATTAATCACCACGATACGATACAGCTCACGCGCGGCTGCTCGTCATCGTGCGCGCGGGACGCAGCTCACCTGCGCGCACCTCCAGCAGGCGTATCGCGGCCGGTGCAGAGATGAAAATCGAGGCGCACCCGGTGCCCGAGAGCGCGCCGGCCGCGCGGGGGTGGCTGCCGGGCCGACAGTTGCGGCCACAAATGAGCCACATGGCGTAATTAAAAAAAAGAGCGAGCGCGCGGGGAGAGAGGGGCCGGCTCTTTGTGCGAGCCACGCGCCCTCCACGTAGCCAGCGCCATATGGTCCAGCATCCCTCAGTCTGCTGCCGACGTGGCTGTCGGCCGTGCACCGGCTCTCCGGACAAGCAGAGAGAAATAGAGCTGTGCTTTTGCATTGGCGCGGCACTTTGATATCCTCTGCATCGCTCTCCCTCTCTATCTATCTCTCTCCGACGGCGTCTGTTCATTTTTCGGTTCGACGACTTTTGCTCCTGGAATTTTCGTCGGTATGGGGGATACCCGCTGGTTTTTATTACGACCGACGAACGGCTTCTCGGTCTACCTATCTCGTATGTCGTCCGCGCAAGACGATTAGTCAGGCGCACGATAGCCGTCTGGCCGGGGCTGGAAATTACGCCAAGCCGAAGCGATCGAGGCTTAATCTCGAGGCAATTAATTAGAAAAGCCTCGCTTTCGCTGCGAGACGCCTGCCCGCGGCCGAGCCGAGCGCTTCTTCGCTCCCGAGGAAATTGCAGCGCTGCGCGGAACCGTCAATTAGACGTGACAGGCGAACGGCCGAGACGCCGAAAACAACGGCCGTTAGTCGTGATGGCGCCCGAGTGGCTGGCCGCCGGGCAGCGTTTGCTTCTTGCAAGTGCACGGCAGCGGTCCTCCGTCGGGGAGGGAAGCTCTGGCTCGCGCCTCGGGCTCGCGCCAGTCAGGTACCTCTGATAGATTATGATGCCAGATAATTTGCCGTTCGCGGGCAAAAACACGGGCCGATTCGAAGTAACGCCGAGGCTCGTAAGTAAGCCGGCGAACAATCGCATGCAAATCGACGTGCACATGTTAGGCTTTTTGCCGGCGATGCCCGCCGATAAGCTCGCTCTATCAAAACACTCCCGCCAGGAGGATAAACGTGAGAAGATGACGCCGCGATTAGGCGGCGCCGATTCTCCGAGATTTGAGCCGGTCGCGAGGGAGAGAGGGAAAAAAGAACGCGGACAATGCCGAAAACTCGCGTTCGAATCCGAGCGCAGGAGGGACAAGGCGCTCGCCCTCGTGTGAAAAGGTGATGCGTTGAAAGGATTGCGAAAGATTGCGCTGCGCACGAGAAGTAGGTGGGAAGTGGTTTTCCGTGGCCACCGTGCGTCCCGGCTTTTCCCATGTAGCCGCTTCTGCCAGCGTACGCACACGTAGACGGACGGAGGAAAAAAAACGCGACCAATAATAGAATGGGTTTCCAGGTTTCGGTGGGAAAAAGGAGCGCTCTGCCGTTGCTGCTAGGGCCTCTATTATAGGCCCAGTGCTGCGGGCCACACAAAGGATCGCCTCAAGGACATCTCTTCGCTGCGTTCTCCGAATAGCGGCGATGACAATTTCTCGTCATGCGAGCCTGGAGGTAGCCAACCGAAAGGATTGCTGCTCCCAATTGTCCTCCGCGGATGATAGGCTCAAAAAAGAGTTTCCTTTCTCTCGCCGGCTTCGGCGGTCCTTTCCTGCTTTTTTCACTGATTTTCTCATGAAATTACTCTTCGAGACGAGCTCGCGGCGGCTCTTTCCCCTGCACTTATCGCTTTTCATCGTTGGGAAAAAGACCATAAGGCCATTTTCCCAACGATGAAATTTTACCATTTTACCAACTGCTCTTTTGTCCGATTCCGTAAGTTCATCGGAAGAAGCCTTCGGAAAAGGAAAGAGCAGTGGTGATGTTTCCGCACAAGAGGAATGGCGCTGACTATAAAGTTCCCGTGCGGCGCGAACAGGTACACCCGAGAGCGATACGCATCATCTAGCGCGCTGCAAAAAGGGAGCGCCGCCGCCGCCGCCGCCGCCGCCGCCGCGCTCAGGTGTATTTTTGTTCCATTTTCTAAGAGAGACCGGGCGAGGGCGCAATTCGAAATTCCGCGCGAGGCTTAAAATCAGGTGTGCGCGAGCGAGCGGCGCCTTTGAGCCTCAGGTGTTGCGCTCCTAACAAAAGGCTCGAATCCGCGTGAGTTGATAGACAAGCCGGCAAGACTTCACACAGTCCTCGGCCGCGCTCGCACGTGACGCCCAATTTTTTATACGCGGGCCCGCGAACGAATACCCGACGCTTTCGCAATCCGAGATCTGTCATCTCTCCCTCGCAGACGCGCGTCCTTGCTCTCTCTTGTTCCTTAATCTAATTGTCGCCGTTTCAAGCTTCGTCGCTCGATGCGTCAATACTCAATTCGGAATATGATTTCTTATTGTGACGTAAATCGGCCCACAAAAACATTCCATTAGCGCAGTGAATGACGCGGAAACAGGTATATTAAAGCTGCTATATATTTTTTTTAAACCAGCCGAAATCCAAATAAGAAAAGGAAAATAATGTGGGTTAAGAGACGCGCGAAGAATGGGCGCCCCGTGGAAAAAACTTGGCGCGCGCGCGGGAAAAAGCTGCCAGATAAAAATCAACAACCTTATACGAGAGCCGAGAGCGTCGAAAACAAAGATGCGAATAGCGGGAGCAGCGTTCGGAGAAGATTACCGATACACCGTGACGACGCGACCTATTCAAGCTTTTCAGTGGCTCACACACTGGCCGTGAATGGGAAAAATTTTCGGAGCAAAAGCGTGCGCTCGCGCGCTATTGAAAAATCCGAGAGAGCGAGCGTAAGGTGCAGTCATTGTCGCGGGCGGCCATGAATGAACCGAGGGAACAAGTGTAGCGGCCACTCCAAGTCTGGTGTACGCGCGAAGAGTACGACAATGCTGGGAATTTGGCGTGATTTATAGCGCCTCCGCGGGCACATTCGAATAATTCGACTTGGCGCGCGAAAAAGCAAAACAAGCGGTACTGGCGAGGAGCAGAAGAGCTCGATGATAATTAGTGATCATTATTTCGGATGGAGACTTTGCGTTACCTTGATCTCGGTGTTTTCATCTTTTTTTGAGAAATTGGGTAATCGACGTGAAAAGTGGAGTCATTTTATGCAGCAGTTAAAAGTTTGTTCTCCGAAAAGTGGTCCTATTAATCTTGTCCATGACTTGCAGAACATTGGTAAAGCGACAGTTTCATCGATAGAATAATGAGAATGATCCAAGTCCGATGAATAGACATTGCGGCTGAATGGTCGGACTTAATTTTTCAGCGCGAACTTGACATTCGTAAATATTTGAGGCAGCTCGTTGTGCCGGCGAGCAGGCAAAGAATAAATCACGACGAGAGTGGCTTGATTGTGAGCTATTACATTGAACAAGAGGAAGAAGCAGGTCTAAAAAGACTTCTAGAAACAAGCTGTAAAGAGGTTGGTAAGAAGAAATGCCAGAGAGTGAGAGCGAGAGTCTCAATAGAGCTGGCGCGAGTGTGTATAGAGAGGAGGCGAGCTGCCGCTTCTTCTGCGCCCAAGTTATAAATTTTCCCTCAAGTGGTGAAGCGTCGGAGGGTATTTACCGCGCGAGAGAGGTGCTCTCTTCGCGCGGAGATTACAGAGGTCCGGAATGCAGCGTCTCTCGAGTGGCTCATTGTAACGAGGACAATGCCATTATAGAGGCCGCTTGTCGCTCTCGCACAGCAGCGCCGAATAACACCATTATTCGCCGCTTGCGCCCGCAGGGCCAACTCGCGGCCGGAGCAGCGCCTTACATGCAACTCTGCCTGCCTGCTTTCGTCGATCGCTCGCGCACCGTGGCGCTCGCTCTCCGCGTATCTCCGCTTTTCCAGGGGAAGTTAACGGTCGACGGCGAATCAAGGCTCCGAGGAGCGCAACAAGCGCCGCCAAGGGGGAGCGCGAGTGGGAGATGTCGCGCGATAGCCGTGAACGGAGCGTCGTCAGCGATAGAGCGACGGACAGGTACTACTCCCCCGGAGAAGGAGCGGAGGGTAAAAAAGAGTAGCCGAGTGAAAAAGAGAGCCGTGCGTGTTCCGCGGCACAATGGCATCGGATGTTGTTTTCGTGCGCGGGCAACCGAGCGCACCAGCCAAATCTGCCTCGCTCTCTCAGCGCCGGCACAAAGCTTCATTGAGTGGGTGGAGACTTATAAAGTGACCTTTTACGTTACACTTCGGATTGAATTTTCCTTTGTCGCCTCGAGCCTTTCCCAAAATGTCTCCGGAACGCAGATAAATCTTGTTTTCTCGTGCGCCGCATTAAGAAGTGCTTAGCGCAGTTCGTGCACATGCACTGCGCGATCGGGCCAACGGCGAGCAACAAAGTAGCCCGCTCGCTCTCGATCAAAAGCGCGCGCGTTTCATTCACGTTGGTGTTTTGATTTCTTTACGCCGAACCGTTCGTCTCCTCCTGAGCTTTCCCGACCGTTTTCTCACCTCTCTCTCTCTCTCTCTCTCTCTCTCTCTCTCTTTCTCTGTCTCACGCACACGCGCACACGCGCGGGACCTTTCTCGCTTTTCCTTTACGAGGGAAAATAATGCTCTGTCCGTTGTCAGCGCGTCGTAAAAGTTTAATTTGAAAATTTACCACGCACTCGAATGAATTGGTCGATAAATAAAGCCATCTCGAGATCTAAACACGTTGAAAGGGTCGGCTGCGAGCGTCGGATTATTCAGTGGGGCATCGCACGCGCTGAGAGAGAGAGAGAGCGCGCCAGCCGGACGAACGCACGCGAGACCGCTCGGGGATGCGCGTCACGCACCTTATTAGATTTATGGAAAAAGCTACCGAATGTAGTCGGCGGCGCGACGCGGCCTTCATTAACATCCAAAGCAGGGCCCGACGGCGCATCGCTCGCGTGGGGTCGTATCTTCGCCCTAATCGCGTTAATCAGTCAATCGAACTGACGACCAAAGATCCAGTCGGCTTTCTGCAACGCCGTAAACTGCTTAGCAAACACGTGGGCGAACTAACCTGTTCCTCTAGCTTACTTGCCTGCGCGGATCATTTGGCTTTGCACAAATTATGGATCATTTGACTTTGCACAATGTCAGGCAAAACGAGCTTTCTATAAAATATCAGGTAAATTTATTGTTTACATTGTGAAAAATGTGAATAGTGTCAGGACAAGTCGT